CGAATTAAAGATATTTATTCTTTAGTTAATGATTAATTTCTTCTTAGATAATAACTTATTGGTTGATAAAGAAGCTGTGACATATTTTTTCGAAACAATAATAAAAAACTGAATGAAATCGAAATTAAATAAATAAAAAAGGGATGTTCGAACAAAGCTTTTTCCTTTCTGATGCAATGCCAATACTGCAGCTTTAAATATTCACCGATACATACATGTATGAAAACGACAGACCAATTTATTTTTGAGCAATGATTAGATAAACTAATAGAGTGTTTTAATGAGCATTCTAATATCTGACACCTTAAATGAAAGCTGATATAGCATTAAAATGACACACTGCTTCCTCTTGTTTTGATTAAGTTCAAGGAATATGAGTAAACAAATCTTTGATGGCCTGTGAGGCCTGTATGATTACGTCCAGAAAACGATACATTCTGTGCCAGAATTTCTTTGGAAATACGTTCTCCAGCTGCCCCAAAAAGTTTTTTTCTAGCATGTCAATATAGGAAGAAATTCATTAATACAATGTAAACTGATATGGAAGCATTTTAATTGAAGGGGGCCGAGGCAGCAGCCTTGAGGTACTCCTCAAGATGTCTTTATATATTGAGATTTGAATTGACTTAAAGAAACAAAGTGGCAGCCTGCTGCTCAGTAAAATTGGGAAAAAAAAAGCCATTAAAAAAATAATTATTTGACATTTTCTCCTCTAACTGCATTTCTTTTTCACACCGGAAAACTAAAAGCAACAAAAATGTTTAGACAGTGAAAGTGGTAGTAAATTATATTTGTTTGCTTGGTAGAGATTTCTGAGAAGATTTAGGAAATTAAAAATCAGCTGAAGCTGAGTGACTTTGTCCGGCAGCCTGCTGAGACGTCCATCATTCCCTCCAGCATTTTACATATTCTGCCTCTTCTTCACGTTGTAAATAAACACCCAGCACCTTTTGTCATCCATGCCCATTGTCAGAGTCTGAAGATGACCTTTTCTTTTCTTTCCCTTCCTTCTCTCTTTCACTGTCGACGACAAGCTGTTCCTCGGTCCCTGCGGTCCACTCCCTCTCTTGTCTGCTCGTCTTTGCTCCTCCCCTTGCTCTCCATCTCTATCTCCCTCTCCCCACCTGTTGAGCAGACCTTATTGTTTCCTCCTATTATTATTGTGGCTCATGTGAGTCCCGCCTCCTTTCTGTGGTGTTTTTTCTCTTCCTTATGGGTCACTCCCACTTTTTTCAGTTTTGTTTTTTTTTTCAGCCTCCCTGCTGGTATAAAACTCTGGAAGAAAAGTGAGGAGAGATGAAGACCTGTCACATCTGTGGGGATTAACCAGCTCTCCAAACTTCCATCCTCCTCAAGTGTCATCAGAGCAGAAACAAATCCCTTTCTTTACCTCTTGGAAGAGCATCCCCAGCAGATGGACGGAGGATTTCCTGTTTCTCTTTGGTGTGAGGAGACGGAGGAGGGTCAGAGCCAAGAACCGGAACAGAGCGAACCACAAGGCCAGAGCAACACTCGGGGTTCCCCTCAGCTACGGGCCGCCTGGGACCCCTCAGTGTCGGGGCATCGAGTGATCCAGAGGCTGCTCCATGTGGAGGAGAGATACATGCCCTCCTTGCTCTACATCACCCTCATCCAGAGGGATCCAGAACGCAGGGAGGAGCTGGCCAAATGGGCCCTGGAGGTGGGTAACCCTCTGATGTTCCCTCTTCTTCTCACAGTTGAGAGAAAGTTGTTAAATTCATGCAACTGAGACACCTTTATTTCCCGCTCTGCAGGTTTGCTGTGACTGTGGATGCGATGAAGCAGTCTTCCCTCTGTCTGCCTCCCTGATGGACAGGTATCTGTCTGCATATCTGTCCCTGCCTGTATCACCATACTGCCTGGCTGCTGGATGCATCCTTATTGCCTCCAAACTCACAGAGTGTGACACGGTCACCGCAGACGCCCTCTGTGCGGCGGCCGACTACAGCTTCCAGCTTTCAAACTTGCAAGTAGGTTTATGGTTTGAAGGAACCTTTTCCAAGTGTGCAGTTTATTCTCTGTGATTTCGCAGACATCTCTATGAAATCACAGAGGTGGCTCTGGAGTTTTCTTTTACCAGGCTAACCATACGTGGTGGGAATTATACCATTTAGGTGTTTATAGCTCCTCTGTTTAACTCTCAGCAGCCCTGAAACCCAAATCAAAGACTTTAATCCGTTGATGAAATGTTTCACTTCTGGTTTCTATCACCAACAGGACTTTGCAGAGGCTTCTTTGTGAATGTGTGGCCTCATGTGTTTATGTTCCAATTTTTTTATACCTGCAGATAACTTTGGAGTTATTTTCTCCTCTTAAAACCAAACATTGAACAAGTCTTTGATGCTTTGATGGTTTTTACTAGATTCACTGTAAATCTAGTTTACACCTTTCTTCAGCGTCTTTTACTGGTTTTAGTTTTGTCTACAGCGTTTGGGGTCATCATAGCGCAGCAGGCCTTTACTTTGAACATTACTTTAATTTTTTCACCTCTCTATTTGACTTTAAATATCTGCAACCCAGCAGCCAGAATCTCTGAAGAATGCACTTTAGAAAAGCATGTCCAACACGCCCCATCTATTTGGGTTTACTGGAGTATAATTCACAAACATATCCCAACCAAATTTTATATAATTTTTTTTGCATAACAAATTCCAATTTACTCTTTTTAGATGATTTTTTTTAAACAGAATTATTAAATAAGCCTTACACAGTGCATATTCAGTATTTTAATCTATCTTTTTTATATAAACACATAAGTATTAGGTTTATGTGTTTAGAATTAATAAAGTGTACTTATTCAAAATGAATACTGATGAATGTATTTATTTCAAAAGCAAAACGTTTATTTTATGACTTCTATAATAATCAGGTTATCTTTATACAAACAATTTGATTCAAATAATAAACTTGATGTGTTTTAAATAAATACACTCAGTATTACTTTTGAGTAAGTATACGTATTTGCTTATTTATACTAAATAAGTAAACCTTTAAAGTATATTATACAGATTATTATGAACCATGCAAGGTTTATTTAAAAGGTTTGTGTTAAAATTATCTAAAGAATAAAGTAAATGGTATTTTTTTTATGTAATAAAATTAGATACATCTTTAAATATGGATTAAATGCTTTTATGAGTGGATTATTAGTTCCCTGCAAGTCAATTATTTGCTTCAAAAATTACAACTTTTACCACAAATTGTGACCTTTTTCATTTCTTTATAAAAGATAGAGAATTTTTTTAGAGATATTAATGATAATAAACTGTCTCAACATGCAGGCCCCCTTACTGCGTCCCTGGATTTGCCCCTGGGAGGTTTATTCACTTTGAATTCATATCTAACAATCTGCATCTAGCAGTAAAAACAGAAACCTGATTTCCTCTGTTTGATTTGAAGCTGTGTGAATCACTTTGTTTTATTCTTGGCAGCATTGAATGATTGACTTATTCTCTTCTCTTCCTCAGGAAATGGAGCGTATCATCTTGGCCACCCTCCGGTGGGACACCGCCGCAGTGACTCCTCAGGACTTCCTCCCACATTTTCTCGCCTCCATGGAGGAACGAGGAGAATCTGAGCAGAAGCTGTTGGCCACTCTGAGGCGGCACAGCGACACACTGGCTGCCCTGTGTGTCTGTGACTCCCGTTTTCTGGGAGCCCCTCCCTCACTTGTTGCTGCAGCATCATTGAACTGTGCACTGCGAGGTCTCGGCAGCAAGGGGCCTGCTCAGCTGGCTGTCATGAGTGAGATGTTGGCTGAGTTGTGCCAGACAGATTTGGTAAAGGCCCCCTTTTACTGTATGAAGGCGCTGATGTTCATGGATTGCAGAACTAATGCTTTTTGTTTCTCTTACCTTCCAGGCTGTGCTGCAGTGCTACAGCGACATGATAGAATTTGCCCTCAGGCAGCGGCTGAGCAGCGGGCTGCAGCAGAGCCCCACTGAGAAGGATGAGGAGGTGGAGAACGAAAGGCCAGGGACTCCAACAGACATGAGAGAGATTGATTTCTAAGCATCTTATCACACAAACCTTTTTAAACACATCAGTCAAACTGATATAAATTCATTATTATCTTAACATGTTTTAATATAACTTCTTAATTTATTTTGTGCCTAATTTATTTGTGAACAATGCATGCACCATGTGCCATACATAATTATCTGTCTGTTAACTGTTTGTAAGCTTTGCTTTTGTTTCAATGTTCCATATTTATTCTTTATTTATCATCATGTGCAATTGTTCACTCTTCTTTGGTGTTAATTTATTACAATTTGACTTAATTTAATGCCTTTTAATTGAATTAAAATGTTAATAAATATATTTTTAAAACAGTAAGTTAATGGAGGACAATTACTTTTGACATCATGAATCCAGGAATATAGTGATGTTGCAATAGCAAAAGAATAATACAGAAAAATTCTGACATGGAAGAAACGCTCCAAGGATAATGGTGTTGTCTCTATCCTCTATCCAAGATTTGTTTTTAAGCCTAGACAGGAGTAGAGCTCCTCATACCATAAAGCTTTAGAAATATTTTCAAAAAAACAACTTTGCAACAATATCAAAACAGAACAACCAGACTGCTGCAAGGTTTCTGCCTCAGTCCATCAGAATAATGAGCTGATATAAGCAGTATTGCTTATGCATGCTCTTTCTGTTTTAAAGGGGTTAGTTTTACTTATCTATGCAATAACTTTTTAAAGATACACTTTTGATGCATCTCGCTTAGTATAATAATTGTTTTGATTTTTATTCAAATTTAAATACACAGTTAGCTTTCCATACTTCCTATTTGGGGAAAAGTGGTGATGCCTTTTGTGTTATAATGGTGTATCCGTTATTCTGAAATTCAATGTCAGTTAAATTAGGCAACCCGGCTTTGACAAAATGCAGCATAACATATTGTGATTCTTTGATCACTAGTAGAATTTAATCCCGGTTTTAAATACATTTTCCATCAATAACGTGACGCTCTTCAAATATCACGGACGTGTGCCTTTGTAAATAAGTGCTGAAGCTGTTGTTTCCGAGTTTACGTGAAGATGGTATGTTGAAACCGTGCTGCATTCGCGTGACGTGGTTCATTTCCGGGGCAAAAACAGATTCGTGGATTTTAAAACTCCACCTGCGGTAAGATATTAGGGTTTTAGTGTATTTATTAACGATGCCCGCTATTATCTTTAATTGTAGCTCTATTCTATATTAAAATTACAGGTATATTTTCCATAAAAAGGTTGCTAAATAAGGTTACGCAGGTTGACAATGCTAGACGTTTCTACATCTTTCTGCTACTAGCACTGGTCGTTCCAGCCATAAAATTGTGAGAATTATCAGTTTTAAATTAGTTTAAAAAAGCACGGATGATGTATTTACTACTCCAGTTTCTGTTTGTGTAAATTCTCCGTGTTTGTTTTATTTCCTGCCTCACTGGAACATCCGTGTTTTCCTCTTTAGCTGCTTAGCCAAACCCTGAAAGCAACATTTGTTGTTTATACAAATTGTGTGACTCATGCTGCCTTTTACATCTTTCCCTAATGTACTAGTTGTAGTAAGATCAGGGGGAGTCAGTGCATTTGTACTTTGAGTTTGGTGCCACTACAATGTGAAACAGTGAAGTTATAGGTTGTTTTCTTAAAATGGGAGATGTTCATGAGTAATTTTGTCCATTTTAATGTGAAATATATGCTGCCCAATTCATTTAGAAGAAAACAAACAGAAGAGAGATGTAATAAAAAGAATAAATCAGCTCAGCTCCTGGGGAAAGTAGGTCTAACTAATAATTAGATGTCTGAAAGTAAGTTAAAAAACAGAAATCACACAAATATGGCAGCTGAAGCTCCATTGTAGAATCACAGTGACTCAGTGGTAGAATTAGTTCAAGTTAATTTATGAACATGCCTACATACTTAAACAGTTGTATAAAAAAAATGATCTTACTGCACATAAAAAAAAATCATTTCTGATCTAAATATACTGAGACTAAGAAGGTCAGTCACAAACCCTGTAGTTTCTTCCAAAACATTCTGATTGCTAAAATATGTTCTGATGAAAAAAAAACTTAAACCTTTGTTTGACATAAAATCACCACATCACGCAAGGAACACTGTATCCACATTAAAACATGGTGGTTACAGCATCATGATATGGAGTTACTTTTGTGGAAATTTTGATGAATTGTACCAAACATCCAGGTGTTTGAGAAAGAGCTGATTCCATATGATGACATGCTCAGTTTATTAGACGGATTTCAGTTTCATTCTAGCAGCAAGGACAGAATATCAATGAATACTATACATATTGCTAATGAATTTGCATGCCACTAAATAAAAGCGTATCATTTCATGTCTATTGAGTCATAAGAAAAATGATGACTGTGTCAAATGTTTACTTTGATATAATCTAGGGCTGAAATAATCAGATTAATTGTGGTTAAACTGATTATTGAAATAATCGTCAACAAATTTAGCAATCGATTAATCGTTAACTGGGGTATATAGACTCTAAAACATGCCTTTAGCTGACAGAGTGACCCACTTAGAGCAGTAATTATATCAAAAGAACAGATTGTCTGTCAATATGCTCTATCTAGAACTCCTCAAGTGAAAAAGTTTGATTTTCATCTGGTTTAATTTCGTAAAAAGTCTTCTTTAAGGAATCATTTGCTATCCAATCATTAATATATTAATAAAAAATAAAATCAGCAGATTTAATCAATTTGCAAAATAATCGTTAGTTGCAGTCCTAATATAATCTTCCAAAAAACTGGGAGCTGCTTCAAGACAGGAGAGAAGCCTGATAACTAGAAGATCGGACTCACTTTGCACTTTTATCTGCTGGGATGACGACTTAATCTAGAGTCTGATTAAAAGTTTAAAGGGAGGTATAAGTTGTACTATCTGCTGATTTACAATAACAAAGCTCATTTTTTTGCAATAAAACTAATGTGAAAAGTTTCCCTGGATGTCTTGAAGGTCTTGAGCTGAAAATGAAAATGTGCTTCACACTCTGTTGCATTCATTGCTGTGTTAAAAACCCCCCAAAAAGATTGTTTCCTCCTGTTACAGGAGGATGACCTCGATAACTGGTTGGCTGCTGCTTCTGTTCATCCCTACAGTGGTGTGGTCAGTTCCCATTGATCGTAATGGAGGCGAGCCCAAACAGGAAGTGCAGGAGGAGAACATGGTGAGCGATCTGATGTCCTGATGGGATCTTTTAATTTGGCTTTTCTTTATTTGAACCTGAGTTTTAATGTGTGCGGTTTGCAGGACACGGGTCTGTACTACGACCGGTACCTGAGAGAGGTGATAGACGTTTTAGAGACCGACCCTCACTTCAGAGAGAAACTGCAGACGGCAAACACAGAGGACATCAAGGTCAGTAGCTCCACATTACCGACCTGCTTTGGGCTTAGTTTCAGCTCTCTGTAAGATGGTCTCACATTTGACACAAGAATAAAGAAAAGCTTAAAAGCTGCCCCTGATCCCAAACCATGAGCCTTCCACCACCGTGCTTAATAATTACTCAGCCTTTGTGCCGTTAAACTAATATCATTCTTTGCATTTTGCCAGACGCTTGTAATTTGGTCCCTCTTTTCAGACATTGTTCCATTGGTCTGGGTTTTTTTTTTAAATAAAATTTTCTAAACCAAATGGATGCTAATTCATTGTTTTTCTTTTTAAGTATTGTAACTATTGAGCTTGTTGTTTATAAGGCTTTGAGTTTAGCTTGTAAAGATCTGGTCAACTTTCTTTAGGCCCCATTCATTTAGAAATGAGAGTTATGACTAACTTGGGTCCTCAAACTGTTAAAGCCATATTCAGCTGGTTGTTTGCTGCTTTCTGCCAGAACGGGCGTCTCAGTAAGGAGCTGGACTTGGTTGGTCATCATGTCAGGACCCGACTGGATGAGCTGAAGAGGCAGGAAGTTTCTCGCCTCAGGATGCTGCTGAGGGCCAAACTGGACAGCACCAACACACAGAGTGAGTTTCCATGATTTACTTTTGACATCATGATGTTCCTGCTCCTGCAATGCTGCAATCATGTCCACCGTGGAGAATCAACTATTCTTCCACTCCTGCTCTGTCGCGATGATGCAGTTATGGACCAAAACATGGTACTGTGTATTTTACACATTTATATGTACTTGATGGTACTGGGGGCATTTGGTCAATACCAATACAAGTACTAAATTTGATACCAAACTCTAATTAAGAGAATCTGTAGGGTCACTAGCAGAGGCACTGACATGTGTGTCAGCCAATACCGTGTGCAGATATTGGTGTTTTTTCCTGGTTTCTGCCGATGCCTGCAGGCATTCGCAGGCTCTGTACTTTTTTTTTTTTTTTTTTTTTTTTTAGATGTCTCTTTTTTGTTTTACATTTAAATGGAAGAAGAAAAATCAATATTGCTTCAAACATGGCTGAAAAAGTCACATACAGGGGCTGGCTGACTGAGATGAGATGAGATGAGATAAAAATATCAAAAGAATAAAATTGCAATTACAACACACTCCTAATCTTATAGAAGGCAGTCATACCAATGTTTCTAATATATAGACGTGTATCTTGCTGCACTATATTTAATGTTAGTCAACAGTAGGATAATTGTGTTAGACTCATTTGGAATGCAAATAGATATATACATAAAACAGCCAGTAAAGATATGACATTCCCAAACACAAACAGTTCGCTGACACTGCTCCAGCTGGTCTTCTTTAGCAAACGTCTTACTGCATTATTATAAGCCCCCTTCAATCTTATCTTATAATCGCACCATAAGTAAAGTGTAGTAAATGCAGTAAAGTGCAATATGATCTAAACAAGTCCAGTTCAACTAATCAGATAAACATTTAAATTTCTAAAGTAAAACATTAGCTAGCGTACATAGCATTCGGACCTGACGGTAAGTGTCCTCATCACCTGATAGACGGGCTGTTAGCACAAGACCGAGATATTTTACTTCATTTGAGATGCTGATAAAATCCCAGAGAGCTTAAAATTAGGGAAAGGCCTAAATTTGTCTTCTTTAGTGCAACATATCAAAATTAAACTTTCTGATTGGTTGAATTTAACATCATGAAGTTGACTGCTTACCTTACACACATTAAGCTGCTTCTGAAGACCAGCTGGGCTTGGAATAAAAACCACTATATCATCAGCATAAATTAAGTGGTTTTTAACTGCGTTTCAAACCATACAGCAAGTTTTACACTTTTTAACTGTTAATGAAATATAAAATAATTTTAATGGGCCTTGAAAACAACCTATATTGATCTCTAGTTCCAAGTAAACCTTTTAAGTCAGATTTAAAACCTTATTTTTTAAAGGTTCAGGTTCTCCATTTGCATGTCAGCTGACTTTCAAAATACTTTGGAGCGATTCCACTTCAGCAAAGGCCTCTCCCGTCTGAGCATCTGTTCTCTCATCTGTTCTCTCAGTGGCTCTCAATCAAAGATATGAACTAATGAAAATTAGCTTGTTTAACAGCAGGAGGCACAGCAACTATTTAATGCAAACAACCATTCATGCTCATCTATGATAACAAATCTGTTCTGCTGTAGATCCCTTTGAAAAATAATGTAGTTAATTTTACAGTGATTATATAGAGCATGTTTTATCCCTATTTCATTGTTTTAAATGGTAATATGTATATTTATACGGCTAATACATCCCCTTCACTTCCCCAAAGGCTCTGATTCATCGTTGAACGGCTATTAGGAGCTTGCACTTCTTACATCAGATTTATTCTATTCATCTCTTAAATTTTAAGTTCAGTATGTTTTTTTGTTCTTCTCTTAAATGCAAAATTTCATGTTTGGGTTATGATTCCCTTAGTTTTATTCTGTTGTGGCTTTTCTTTGCAGACATTGAACAAAACCACACAGAATTACATCCATACATCTGATTTTATTAGAAATTGTAGAAGACACACCTAGTTCCACATAAATCTTTACTGATTTCATTTAGTTCTGAACGTCATGTTTTTCTGAGCTGCTGTTTTAGTTAGAAACATGGCGTCCATCACACCCATGATGTTCTTTCTTGCTTCGCTCGAAGGATTCTAGGATCGATTTAGTGTCAGTAAAATTGTAAGATTCACGTGACTTAAAAGAGAAACCAGAGTGAAATATCACAGGCGTTCTACTTGTTAACAGAGTGCAGAAGAACGACTCTCCCAAGATGGAGCCAATCTGTTCTACACTCTGGCAGAGAAACCCCTCCTCTGTGTGTGAAACGCCCCCTCTTTTGGAATGTCGCACAGATAACGCTCACAGTAAATCAGGGATTCTGAGAAAGCCTGACTTTTCTTACATTCCTGCTTTGAAGGTCACAAGGCCTGCCTTTGCTGTAGCTGCATCTTGTTTTTATTTTTTTTTTTTGTTCAAGTGAAACAAAGGATGATTCATCTTAATTTGAGCATTTTGCTTTTATTGTCATTACGCTGACACAAGTACAGAGCAACGAAATTAAGTCTCTGCATTTAACACATTCCCTTTGGGAGCATTGGGCTGCCATTGTGCAGCGCCCGGGGAGAAGTGTGGGGGTTAAGGGTCTAATCTTTGGATTAGACCCGGTCCATGATTATGATTAAAAATTAGGAACATTTTTCATGACATGCTCCCTCATCCTCATCCTTTCTTCCTCCATCTCCATCATGTCATCCTCTTCGTTTTTTGGGTCATAGACCTTCTCCAGCTAGATGTTAAAACATGTGAGCAGGGACAAAAAAAAGCTGAATAATTCCGAACCTCTTTGGTGAAGAGAGCCTCCATGATTATGATTACCAAATTATGATTACAGAATACTAAAGATGTTAGAACTTTTCCATCGGTGGGTTTTGTTGTGCTACAAAGCATCTGATCTAAATTAGTGTAGAAGCAGGTGTTTGAATGTGCTAGATAGATTTACAGCCCTAAAAAAAAAAAGATTAATCCCACCCTTTTACCTGATTTGGCTAATTAACACATTCAGTCAATAATGAATCTGGACTCTCATCTGGATGAGATATTTACATCTAAAACCGTCTAAAAACTGGTTCCTTAGTTCAAATTGGTGTCACCAGATCCCAAATAAACAGTGCACCTTTGGGATGCAATTTAATGAACGATCTGCATCACAGAGGAGCAGGCAACACATCTGATGACCCATTGTTTGGCTCTGTTGTAAACAGAGCAAAAGGAAAATTGTAAGTTTCTGTTGGCAAAATGTAACATTTATTAGTATGTATAAAACACATCAAAACCAAACTGTCCAGAAGTATTTCAGTCCTAGCAAGAGCTAAGTACAAACTGGATTCCAAAGCACTTCACATCCTATACTGCTCACTACTGTTACCTTATTTGAATTAGAGGTGTAGAGGTTTGGGGAAACATTTATCAACACTCATTACAGCCACTAGTCATAATGCAAAAAAGAGCAATAAGAATCATTCACAACGCCGGACTTCGGGATCATACAAACGCATTATTTCTAAAATCTAAATTGCTAAAATACCAGGATTTAATAGAATACCAAATTGCAGTATTCATGTTCAAAGTAAGACATAGCCTATTGCCTGGAAATATACAAAAGATGTTCTCTGAAAGGGGGGGAGGGTACGATTTAAGGGGAAGGGGAAATTTTAAGACTAATAGATGTAGAACAACAAGAAAAAGATTATGTTTATCAATTTGCGGAGTTAAATTTTGGAACAAACTAAATGAGAACCTAAAGCAATGTCCAAACATATTCCTTTTCAAAAAAATTTACAAAGAAATTATTTTCAAAAGGTATAGAGAAGCATTGTAGAAAGTTTTGTTTGTTTGTATATATGTATGAAGGTATATGTGTATACATATTTATGTATGTACATATATGTGTAGGTAGGTATGTATTTATATGGATATATATAGCAACATAATTATAAATATTGTAAATTGAAGAAATACAAGAATTAAAGGGGTTGGAGTACATAAGTTTTACTTCTTCCTACTCCTTTTCGCACATGTAATAGAGGTATATTAATTTAGGAAAGAAGGGTACCTTTTTGTTGTTTTTCTCTCCCATGTTTTTAAACATTGTTTTATTGTTTTTTTTTTTGTTTTTATCTTGCATGTTCGAAATAAAGAATAAAAAAAAAAAAAAATAGAGAGTTTGTATTACAGAACACCATTTAGGTGCATTTGGTGACGCGTTTATGTCATGCAGGTCTTCAGATGGACCACGCCTCTTTGCTGAAGCAGTTCGAACACCTGGATCCACATAACCAAAACACCTTCGAGGCCAAAGACCTGGAGCTGCTCATCTCAACCGTAAGAAACTGCAGCAGCGACCTCCTGCCTTCTTCGTTCCATGTTCAGCACATCCGACCCATATTTGGCTTCTCGTTTCCTTATCAAGGCCACCAAGGACTTGGAGAACTACGATGTAGAGAGGCACGAGGAGTTCAAGCGTTACGAGATGCTGAAGGAGCACGAGAGGAGGGAGTACCTGAAGGGCCTGGATCAGGAGAAGAGGGAGAAGGAGGAAAAAAGGATACAGGAGCTGAAGGAGAAACATCGCAAGCATCCTAAAGTCAACGCTCCGGTATGCGACAGAGACCTCTGTGTTGAAAACATTCTTTTACAAAACGTTTCCTGGATTAATTAGGATTTATCTGATGATCAGGGAAGTGTTGCTCAGCTGAGGGAGGTTTGGGAAGAGACGGACGGATTAGACCCTCAGGAGTTCAATCCTAAAACGTTCTTCAAACTTCATGGTAGTTCAACCTTTTAACTGCTCTTCTTCTTTACATAACCCTTATAAATCCAGTCTGAGTAATTCTTTCTGTGTCTTCTTCACTTAGATACTAATGAAGATGGAGTTTTAGACGAGCAGGAATTAGAGGCTCTCTTCATCAAAGAGGTATGTAATTATTTAGCTTTTTTTTGTGAATCCAATGATTTGTATTAAAAAAATAACCCTGCTCGCTTGTTTTAACATCTAGCTGGAGAAGGTCTACGACCCAAAGAACGAAGAGGATGACATGATGGAGATGGAGGAAGAAAGGCTGAGGATGAGGGAGCATGTCATGAAAAATGTTCGTCTCGTTCATCTGCTTTGCCTCATTTTGTCTCGTGTCGCTTTGACTGATGCAGACGCTCTCTGTGTTTAAAGGTGGACATAAACAAAGATCGGCTCGTCAGCCTGGAGGAGTTCCTCAGATCCACAGAGAAGAAGGAGTTTAATAACCCTAAAGAATGGGAGGTAAGAGGTTGGAAGGGATGTTGCTCCCATGAAAACATCTGTTTTGTGGATATATATATATATATATATATATATATATTTTAATGTGTTGTAAATGTCTTCGGTTTCTCTTAGACGCTGGATGCTAAGCCGTTGTACACGGAGGAAGAGCTCCAGCGATTTGAAGCCGAGCTCAGAGACAGAGAGGAGGAGCTGAAGAGGAAAGCAGAGACTCTTCGTCAGGAGCAGGAACTGCTGAGGGAAAGAGGCAAAGCCCTGGAGGCGCAGAAACGAGAGTATCAACAGGTGAAAGACTACAAAAGGAAGAACTGGTGTGGGAGTCTCCAATGGGGGTTAATTTAAGCCTTATTTTATTTTTATTTCCAGGCAGTTCTAGAAATGTCTCAAAGGCAAAAAGAACAGCAGGCAGCTGGAAATGGCCAGGCCCCTGCTGGTCCAAACGGAGAGCTTCAGTTTCACCCACAAACACAGAAACCCGAAGGTGAACCTCATGATTGACACGCGATCAGCTGATTGAGTTTGTTCTGTGGATTCTGGATCTTATTAACAGATTCTCATTCTTCTTCACATCACAGAGGTAAAAGTTCCTGTGGAAGGCCAAAACAATCTGCCAGCAGAACCTCCTCAGAACCTCCCCTCACACACTTAAAAACTGCAGCCACAGACAGCCGGCCGCACGGCACATACACACACGGAGGCACATGAGTTTGAGTGAATTAGTTACATGTTTATAAATGAAGATGAACCAGATCATTGAACATGACATGTTGTGCTGTGTGTTCATCTCTGTGGTCTATATTAGATTAAGGATTTAAAACACACCAGTTTTAGTGCATGTATGTTTGAGTATCTTCAGTTTCAGTGAAGTTTTAATCATACTATTTGTTTGTGTGATATCAGGAATAAATCTTTAATTTAAAATCTCTGAAACTAGACTTATTCAAGGAACTTGTTCTGCAGACATGAAAATATAACCTGCCTCGTCTGCTTTCTACATTTCACACCATTGGTTTGATATTAGAGGTGTAAGCGTCAGTTCAGAAGAGGGGTTTATTTGTTGCTTTCTTTTACAAATAAACATCTAACATTGTTTTGTTTTTAATACTCTGAAAGCCCTAAAGAAAATCTGTTCCAACAAACTGATTTAAAAATATCAGCTAATTAGTGAACAGTTTCCAAATGTGTGTAACTTAACTTCAGTATAAATCAAGCTTTTCTATGGAGGTTCCTCAGGTTTGTTAGGGAACATGAATGATCAAACAGCAGCAGTTTTTGTCAGGAAGGCGGCAGGGAGAATGTTGAGATGTTTAAAGCAGGAGAAAGTTAGAAAACCAGCTCGGATCATCTCAGCCTCTGTTCAGTCTGACGTTTAAGGAAGAATGTGGACACAACTGTAAACCTAACAAGACACGGCAAGAAGAGCGTCGGTCAGGGAGGTCGCTTGGTAAACAGCTCAGGTGGGATAATCGCTTGACAGAACTATACAAAAAAATCTTATATGTATGGAAAATTGTCACACAGATATCATTTTAAGACAGTCATAAGAAGTCCTGTTTACTACTTGGAGATTGAATGGACTAAATAAATGGTACTGGACAGGAGTTTCAGCTTCTACTATGACACAAACACTTAATATAAAGCTAAAAAAACACTAAAATAAACATTAATATCAAATTGTATTCATGTTTGAGCTGGTGTAGCAACTTCTAAATTGAGCAGTCCCTCTGCAAGGGTTGAGTTCCACCTAGGAAAGGTTGCTCATCTTCCACATAGGCACCTTTAAAGAATAATAGACCCGGGCTCACTATTTCAGGAGGACCAGGAAGCCATGGTACCCAAAAACAATCAAACGTTACATTAAAGACCACTTCTGGGTTTCAGCTTTGGGTTTTTTTTCCTCCTGCTGAAAATAGCAAATACTAAATTTTTCACTGAGGGATACCAGTGTTGGGATCAATAGATGTTATATATAAAAATAAACTTGTTTGGTTCAGAAGTTGGATTATAAAAAAAAAAATACATTTATTTGTTTGAATATTTCAATTTGATGAAATATTCAAACAAATTGAAAGCTATTTTGAAGGGCAAAATAAACTATTATAAAACTGCTGCAGCCCTACCCCCCAAAAATAAGCTAAAACAAAACTATAGTAAGCTATTTATTTTTTCGGTTGCCTTCAATTTGAAATACTTATGTTTTGCTAATTTCAGATTGATTAGGATAAAAAAAAAAAAAACCTGAGCGTGGACCTTTAAATTATTTCTTATTTTTTTTATATAAATCAACCCATTGTTTCCTTTGTCTTCTTTTTTGCCATTATATTTGATTATAAATAAAGTTTAAACAGAAAAAAAAACCTTTTCAGCGGTTGTTCCTATTTTTGTTTTCTGTGTATTCCTTATAATTGTGTATATTCGTTATTCAACCTCTTGCGTTTCATTTTTTTTTTTTTTTTTTTTTTTTTTATAAATAAAATTAATTTCAATTGAAAAAATTCCTATTGGGAAAAAAAAGAAAATCCATTTCCGGTTTAGACCGGAAGAGGATTCCGTTTCTTTCCTTGCAGCTAGCAGAAGTAAATAAAAAAAGGGAGAAGTTGCAGATAAATATTTGAGGATATCTTCCGTTATCGGGAAAAAATGCCCCGTGGAAGCGAGATCCCGGAAGGCATCAGATCGATAGCTGTCGATCTGCACAAAGCTGGGAAGGGCTACAAGTTCATTTCAAAGACTTTAGAGATTCCTCCCTCCACCGTAAGGAGCATTATCGTTAAGTGGAAACGGTTTAACACCGTGGCCACGCTGCCACGGAGTGGGAGACCCACGAAAGGTAAGGTGATCCGACGTCTCCGATATGCGGTTGCAGTCCCTGTTTTGCATAACCTGTCCCTAGGAATTTTCCCAATTTTTTTTTTAAGCGTCTGATGAATGAGGAAAATGGTTGCGCAAAAAACCGTTATTACGGTAGCTATGTAGAAAAGCGCCTTCGTGTTTGTTGACAACACGGTAGCTGGTTGCGTTGAGTCAGCTGTTCTGTGATATTGAGGTAAACCGTAAACTGATTCATTTTGTTTTGACTGAGCAGCATATCCTTGAATTATAAATGTTATCAATATAATTAAGTTTATTTCTATAGCACCAATTCACAACACGTCATCCCAAGGCACTTTACAGTTCACCAGATCATCCAGTCAAATTGATTCAAAGTTTTCTATCTAAGGAAAACCAGTTGATTGCATCGACTCATCAACTCGAATGCAATCCTTTACACTAAGCATGCTTATAGCGACAGTGGGGAGGAAAAACTCCTTTTTAACAGGAAGAAACCTCCAGCAGAACCAGGCTCAGTGTGAGCGGCCATCTGCTGAGGCCCACTGGGGTTCAAGGAGACAGAAGCAGAGATACAAAAAGCAGCTGTAAAAGGCGGCCCTGTCCAGGAAACACATAGCCAAGGCAGATGAGTTCCCATGTCAGAGGATGAAGAGAGCACATCCAGCCAGTCACAGTCAGAGAAACAGGACTACACTGAAAAAACAGGCCAATCTATAAAGAAAGGTGTTGATGGCAGCAGCACAGCTGATATTTCTCTCCAGGATGGAGTCACAGCCAAACAGGAACAGACGAGGCAAAGCTATATGAGAAAACTCAGGGAGAACATAACGTTAGAGATTGAACTAACAGATTCTGCAGAGTGGGAAAATAAAGATAGAATGAAGCGTATCGGTGTTTTAAAGGATCACACTGGGGCGATGACATGCTAAAAAGAAACAAAATGTACCAGTTTATAAACAGTGCATTATTTGCATTTTGCTGGCTGACAAAAACTTGTTAGAAAATTTTTTAAAAATTTATAATAGGATTAGACTCTTCTAAAAATAACAAACTTCTGCAAAGCTTCTGACATAAGTCTTCTTTTATTTAAGTTAAAATTAGATTCACATCCCCTCTGTTTAGTAAACAAATATAATACATCAGCCAACCGATTATAAGTGGCTGATAATAGCATTTTTTTCTTTTTCTTGTATCAGCATCTTTTCCTATTTATTATTGCATTCAGCAGCCATGTATGGGGAGCACATAAACATATGTTGCCACTCCCTCCCTTGGTTAACTCTAACAATCACTAACATTTAGTCATTTTTATCACATAGATAGAGAAAAAAAATCAATATCTGCTTCAAGAATCGACACAAAATCTTCAGCAGCAAAATATCGGGCATAGATTAGACTGATATTAAAATAATCTGTATTTGCATCAGTCTTACAAGCTCAATGCTCAATTTCTACTTTTTAGTGTTCTATTATTACTAGGGCTACAACCAACCTTTTTTGAAATTGATTAATCTGTTGATTATTTTTTTGATAATTGATTAATAATTCGATGACCATAGGTTCCTTAAAGAAGATTGTCTTCTAAAGTAAACCAGGTGAAAATAAAACCTTTCCACTTGAGGAGTTCTGAATAGAACAGATTGACAGACAAAAACCTTTTTATTAAATCTTGAATATAAAATGTTTATATGTTAATATAATGTTAATTCTGGTATAATTGCTGCTCTAAGTGGGTTTTTCCTTTAGTTAAAAGCATATTTTAGTCTCTAAACTCCAGTTCACAATTAAATGATTGCTACATTATTTGGCGATTATTTCAATAATCGATTAACTGTTTCAGCCCTAATTATTACATTTTATCATCATACTTCACCTTTGGGGAAATGCTGAAATCGGTGAGGAGAGACATGTTCCTGCTGTTAAAATGTTTTGTTGTTTAAATAATAGCAAACTAAAATAAAAAAAGCCACTTGTCCAAGTTGCTTGCTTCCATCTTGTTAACGTGTGATTCTTTGTTTTCTAGCTGGAAAAGTCCCCAGATTGAACCTCAGAAATCTGGTCAGCTTTTCGAAGGGGAATCCGAAAAGAAAACAGAAAGGACAGTTGGATGAGGTAAAGCGGATTTAAGGGTATATGGGAGCTAAAGGGAATCACTGCAGCTAAAGAAGTTCACATTCACATCTTGTGATCCAAACATTTAATTTTATTTGTACATATTTTATTGACTTTTAAACAAAATTACTTTTTTTTTTAATCAGATCAATTGTTTTTAGCTTTCTTTGTTATTTTTGCACCCGCTAAATAAATATAACCAGTAAGTCCAACCCTCTTCCATCCATTGTCCATAATTTCATGTAGAATAACTTTCTATCCTTGCAGTCCACTTCCACTTAGTTACCACCTATCAATGTAATACATTATAAAACATCGTTCCACCCTTTCATCCAGTACATATTTACCCATCCTCAGCTATAATCAAACCACATCTATTGAGCGTTATCTAGCTAACCTCTATCCTTTCGGTTTTTTAGCATCCCCCCATCCCTCTAGTACGGGAGAGGATTAGGGCCACTGAAAAAGTTAACAGATTTTTAAATTTTATTTCTGTATAATATAAGAAAAAGTCAGAATTCTGACTTTAATCTCAGAGTTCTGACTGAATTTTGACAGCTAACAAACATGTTAGCATCAAGCCGTAGCCACGTCTGTCTTAGAGACTAAACTAGCTCTCTTGTTTTAATCACTTTCTGCTCTTCCATTAAGGAAATAGCATCACTGGAGACCCCTCGGACACGTAAAAAGTCGCCTAATTCCATCATTTTCCACCAACTGAGGGCTACATTTATTAATTGTTTTATTTTTATTAGGTTAGAACCTCTTTCTAAGTCTTGACTTCAACCTGGAAACACGTGGGTTCCTGTTGACCCTCATTTTCTAAGTGAATATGGCTGCTGCTCGTACAAAGCAGTAGAGTTTGCAGGAATTATTTCTATTCTTATGATTATTCCAAATCAGAAACGCAGGATTTGCTGTACCACCTTTGTTTGTGTTTAACTTTAGTGTGTTGTTAAACGCTTAAAACTGAGACAAAAATGAGCCTTTGTGGAATCGATGTGTGGATGTAATGTGATTCCTAGCCTGGAGCTGTGATTCCTGAGAGGAAAGATAAAAAATAAAAAAATTAAATTGATTGCATTTTTTATATTTGGTAAAAAAATCAGCAAAGATTTTGTAGGCAGGTCAAAGCTGGGAATAAATGAATTTCAAAGACTTTACAGGTTCCTCATTCCACAGCTAGAAACACTGTGAAACAAACCAGTTCAATGCTGCAGCTGCACTGTGGAGGATAATGAAGCACAGAGAGAGGAATCCTGGATTTAGAGGTGAAGCTGAAGCCTTTAGCCACTTTGACAATCCATCTAAGTGAATAAATGAGCACCTAAAAAGGCGCTTATCATTATTCTGCTCCTTTTTGTCACTTTGTCTTTTCACCTTGTTTTGGGGAAAATTATTTTCCCATTTATTTCTCTTCTTCTTCCATTTTAGAACCTAAAAGTGAGCTCATTTTCTTTTCTATATTGCCCAGAAATGTTCACTCAGGCTGCATAAAGCTTATCTTACTGACACATGAGAAACTGTTTTTCAGTATTAGATGTCAAATTCCTTTAGATTCAAGGTTATTCAACAACCCTCTCTTTGTTCCAAACTGTCTGGAACTTGTTTTGGTAAAGTATCATTTAACTCCTCCCAGCTGTTTGTTTGAATGTTTCTGTAAGTGTGTGACCAGACCAAACCGAAGGTTAGAAAAGGCTGTTTCTGTTCCACCTTCCAAGGATCTCTACATGCTGTTTGGAGGAAGATGTGCAATATTGTTCTAGTTAAATACAAGCGAAGAAGATTTAATTTTTTGATCACAGCTTCCTTAATAAAAGGTTTTAAAGCAGGAGTCTGTTTTCTTATATCAAAATAACCTGCACAAGACCTCTCCACCATTATTAATGAATATATGCAGAACCATTTCACTGAATTAATCTTTTTATTTGGTGTGGGGTAAGACAAGACCTGTAAGGGAATATAATTCATAGCAAATTAATCAATTCATCACTGGCTGTCCTGCTAGTAACCCTCTGCAATAATAATTCTCATTGGCTGATTTCCTGCATGGTTTACTTAAAGTTTCTGCTCCATCACAGCTGATTTAGAGCTCATACACATTCTCAGCTTCTGGAGAACTCTAATTTGGGTCATTTATTTGGTTTCCTGTGTTTTGAACAAGAAAAGCACATCTTAGGACATGATGTCTTAACCCTGCTCTTTAGGACCCACCACCCTGCAGGTTTTAGGTGTTTCCCTGCTGCTGAACACCTGCTTTAAATGAATGTGTGTTTAATTGGCTTCTGCTGCAATAAAGGACATTCTAAGGAAGTAATGCAATCATGGTAATCAGTTGTTCTGGTGCAGAGATGCATTCAAACACAAAGGAGTGTGAAGGTTGAGAAAGTTGTAGGGGATTTGTGTGTTGTGAACTATTTCTGTTTATCTGATATGACTTATACTATTAACAACCTCAAAGACATTTAATTTTTGGCCATCAGTTTTTTTTTAAATCAAAAATAAATGTTTATATTCTTAGTACTCTGTTATTCCATGCACCATTAAGATTAAACCCACGTGAAGTATTTTTTTGGGGGGCGGCTGCACAGTGGGTAGCACCTTTGCCTTGCAGCAAATAGGGGAGTTCTCTCTGGGTACTCCAGTTTCCTCCCACAGTCCAAAAACACGACTGTTAGGTTAATTGGCCCTTCTAAAATGTCCTTAGCTGCATGTGTGCATGGTAGTATGTTGCAGTCTTGCTCTGTGACAGACTGCTGGAGATTGGCACTGGCCTAATATGATAATTGATTTAAAGTTATTTTATAATAGATTTTTAGTCATACAGTAAATATTTCTTGATCGTTTTGTCTAAACCTGTTTTTTTTTTTATTAATTTTCTTTATAGTTTTTATTTAGCATTTTTTTCCTAAGCCAAAACTTAATCGGTTTGAATGACAATAATATAGAAACAACACTTACATCAATATTCAGTATAACCAAATTTTAATAGAACAGGTATATAAGGAAAAAACAAATCTGATTCTTCATCTGCTGGAGCATTGGCTTTCTGGCCTCTTTACCTTAAACACAGAGTTGTTCTTTAACTTTGTCCCATCTCTGGTGAAAAGTGTCCAATTTTACATCAATAAGAATGCAGTAATTTTTTTCCCATTATTTACACCAATTTTAATCTGTGATTCCACAAAGTTATGGTAGGTGACTTCACCTTTTCCCACTGGCGTAACTTTCTGAAGGACTGAGCTTTTGAGTCCGTGTTTTTTCCTCACTCTCCCGCTGCTCTCGAGTCGCCACCCCTCGGTGAAATATCATGGGATCTGTCGCTTAGGGATATAATATTATTTGGGGTCCAAATAACAGTGCCAGCTAACCCAGAGCCAGCCAGACTCACAGGACACAGACTTACAGGTGCTGGTCATAAAATTAGAATATCATGAAAAAGTAGATTGATTTCAGTAATTCCATTTAAAAAGTGAAACTTGTATATTATATTCATACATTACATACAAACTCATATATTTCAGATGTTTATTTTGTTTAATTTTGATGATTACAAATGACAACAAATGAAAATCTCAAATTCATCATATGAGAAAATTAGAATATTGTGAAAAGGTTCAAAATTGATGGCCCCTGGTGCCACACTCTAATCAGCTAATTAACTCAAACCACCTGCAAAAGCCTTTAAATGGTCTTTCAGTCTAGTTCTATAGGCTACACAATCATGGGGAAGACTGCTGACTTGACAGTTGTCCAAAAGACGACCATCGACACCTTGCACAAGGAGGGCAAGACACAAAAGGTCATCGCTAAAGAGGCTGGCTGTTCACAGAGCTCAGTGTCCAAGCACATTAATAGAGAGGCGAAGGGAAGGAAAAGATGTGGTCGAAAAAAGTGTACAAGCAAGAGAGATAACCGCACCCTGGAGAGGATTGTGAAACAAAACCCCTTCAAAAATGTGGGGGAGATTCACAAAGAGTGGACTGCAGCTGGAGTGAGTGCTTCAAGAACCACCACACACAGACGTATGAAAGACATGGGTTTCTGCTGTCGCATTCCTTGTGTCAAGCCACTCTTGAACCACAGACAGCGTCAGAAGCGTCTTGCCTGGGCTAAAGAGAAACAGGACTGGACTGCTGGTGAGTGGTCCAAAGTCATGTTCTCTGATGAAAGTACATTTTGCATTTCCTTTGGAAATCAAGGTCCCAGAGTCTGGAGGAAAAGAAGAGAGGCACTTCATCCACGTTGCTTGAAGTCCAGTGTAAAGTTTCCACAGTCAGTGATGGTTTGGGGTGCCATGTCATCTGCTGGTGTTGGTCCATTGTGTTTTCTGAGGTCCAGGGTCAACGCAGCCACATACCAGGAAGTTTTAGAGCACTTCATGCTTCCTGCAGCTGACCAACTTTTTGGAGATGCAGATTTCATTTTCCAACAGGACTTGGCACCTGCACACAGTGCCAAAGCTACCAGTACCTGGTTGAAGGACCATGGTATCCCTGTTCTTAATTGGCCAGCAAACTCTCCTGACCTTAACCCCATAGAAAATCTATGGGGTATTGTGAAGAAGAAGATGCAATACACCAGACCCAACAATTCAGAAGAGCTAAAAGCCACTATTAGAGCAACCTGGGCTATCATAACACCTGAGCAGTGCCACAGACTGATCGACTCCATGCCACGCCGCATTGCTGCAGTAATACAGGCCAAAGGAGGCCCAACTAAATACTGAGTGCTGTACATGCTCATACTTTTCATGTTCATACTTTTCAGTTGGCCAACATTTCTATAAATCCTTTGTTTTTATTGGTCTTCAGTAATATTCTAATTTTCTGATATGATGAATTTGAGATTTTCATTTGTTGTCATTTGTAATCATCAAAATTAAACAAAATAAACATCTGAAATATATGAGTTTGTATGTAATGTATGAATATAATATACAAGTTTCACTTTTTAAATGGAATTACTGAAATCAATCTACTTTTTCATGATATTCTAATTTTATGACCAGCACCTGTAAAATTAAAATATAAGAAACCTGCAAGAATTAAAGCACAAATAATAAAAATAAGTGCATGAACGATATTTGAAATATAAGGTTCCATATATAGACTTTGGCTGTACATGACATATGGGACAAACTTCTAAATTTGATTTTGCTGCTTGTGAAGGAGGATAATCACTGATGTAGCTTAAAGGGAACCCATGCATGCATGGATGGATGAATTAAGCTTGTGTCCATACTAGCGATGCAGGATATATTGACGTTGGCATCGGTATCGGCTGTTATTCATCATTTTTTTATACATTAATATTTTTGAGCCCTTTATAAATAAAACACTAAAGGCAGGCATCTGTCTATAACTAAATGTCAGTGTACTGTGGTTCTCTTGTGTTCTCAACAATAGGAAAGCACTCAATAAATACAAGTTTGAGCTGATTTTTTGAAAATATAAACCCTATTGAAAGCGTTCGGGTTGAGTAGCTGCAGGTCCATCAGCCTCTATCCTTAGATCTGTGAACCTTTTATCACAAAATTACCAGCTTGCTTTTTCCCAATGGACAGTATTTTCTTGGCTATCATCAGTAAAACACGTAGAATGTGTCTATGGTCAGCAAAACTTCAGCGAATATAACATTAGGCATCTAGAACATTTAAAGGGATTGATCTTTTATTAAACCATCCATCTTAAACAATCCATTTCCCCATTGTGGGACAAAAAAAGGGATTTTCTATTCTATTTTTTATCTCTTCTTTAGTAAGCAGATGATCCCAAAACATTTTTATAATAAATTTTACCAAATTGTCTCCAACATAAAGCTACTAAGGGGTCGTTTACAAACATCAGAAAATGCCTAAGGAGGTTAAAAAATTCAGCTTTTAAATTTCCTCTCATATTCCTTCTGCTGCTGATTATTAATTCCCTTGTGACTCTTCTTGCAGGTACCCTACAGTTCATCTACTATCATTGAATTAACTTCTAATTCACATTTGTCTTTGATATTATCTGTATTCTGATTTAGATCTGTTCAAATTCCTGTGTGTGATATCTACCTGTTGAAAGGTGTTTTATAAATATTTTTTATTATTTTTATTCATTTATTTACTGTTTTTCTTCTGTATTTGGGATTTGACTCTTCTTACTTACTTTTCATCGTGGAATAACTCTGTTACAGTGAAATATACCTGCCAGTAGTGAGGTTATCACAAAAGACTTACGGTAGATTTGGTTTTTCTGTTTCTCTCAGGATGATCCTACCAGTGATAAAGATGAAGATCCTGATGAGGTAAAGTTAAAACATTTTTCTGAGAAACATTGATTTACTTTTGTATGGAGATTACTTCCATCGTTCTGTCTGCCCATCAAAATGCAGCCAAACGACATCAGCGAGGCGTCAGGAGCTGCATCGAATGCAGATTCTAAGGCGCCTCATACAGAACCTTCTAAAGAAGGTCGGGGGTCATCCAGATCGACCCTTCTCACTGGAGACGAAGAAATGGTAAGACGTGTTTATCATGAGCTCATCCCAGTTTAGAAAGAGAGAGCGGTCACCGTTCTGTTGTCTTTAAACTTCAGAGAGACGGGAACAGCAGCAATCAAGAGGGTGACAACGCAAGGCAGTCTGAGTCGGATGAAGAAGATCCCATGGTGTGAAGATATAAGATGGATTAGCAAACTTTTAAATCCTTTGTACCAATGTTCTTATAGGATTTCTTTTATCTGACCTTTAGACCAGTTTCCAGTTTGCCAGATCAGCAGCGGAAGACGAGGACCACAAAAGGGTAAAACACACCGACGCAAACAGTTAAACAGCCTTCCAGCAGTGTTCATACCTGCTGAAATTTCACCTGTTTATGTTGGAACCATTAGTGCGAAGCCAGAATTCTGCTCCGATTTTATAAGGTCATTTTAAACTGACTGGTACTACAGGTACAATAATGGTATGGGAGCCATTTTTGGTTGCCTAAAGATGATTCAGGCGTCTATAGAATATTTAGAGCTTTCCAGTTCCACAGTGTAGCTATTAGCTTAATCAGTATTAGCAGGAAAATATATAGTACCGTATTTTCACGACCATAAGGCGCACCGTACTAAAAGGCGCAGTCTCAGTTATGTGTGCCATTTCTGTATTTAACACACACATAAGGCGCACCGGACTATAGGGCGCGTTTTTTATATACAGGTACATGTACTCTACTACCTTTAAATACCTCTACTGCGTATTTTAAAAATACAGCGGGAGCAAAACTGAGTATGACTGAGCTTTATTCATGTATTTATTACAAAGTATTAATCAAACCTGGGAGCTGGCCGTGAGACAGACACATCGCAGATGACAAAGCGCTGTGATCACTCCTAAATTAACTTAAAATCCTGAAACCTGCCGACAGAATATGTTCGCTTTTATTACCGGTATCCTGGTGCCTGCAGTTTAAATTATTTAGATGAAAAACACCTGCCAGCCACCATGGTGAACCTGGAGGCTGCTTGGCCTAGAGGCTGCTGTTGAAGGGATTTCTACTGTCAGTGCACCGCTGGTATGTGGGGGTCTGAGCGCCTCCGACAGAAATAGATAATCTGGATGAACTGACTGCAATTATTAAGTTTTCAGGTGGCCTTTCTCACTTAAAAACATATTAAACTACTTTATTCCCACTGATCACAGCAAATATAGCTGCAAGATTTAGATTATTCAGATAAAAAAACACCTGCCAGCCGCCGCGGTGAAGAGGAGGAGACCCGCCCAGAGGCTGCTGTTGAATTAAGTTTTCAGGTAGAAAAATAGAGCGGGGGCAAAACTGAGTATGATTGTGCTTTATTCATGTATTTATTACAAAGTATTAATCAAACCCATCAAAGTCATCATCCTCTGTTTCTGAATTAAACAGCTGCGCTAAATCAGAAATGCCAATTTCCCCTTCTTCGCTGTCAGAGTCACTTTCCGTGCCGGGCGGCTCCTCAGAAATAATGCCGGCTTTTGCGAAAGCTCGAACAACAGAGCCAGCAGACACGTTAGTCCAAGCATCTACAGTTCATCCGCAAACTGTGGCGTAACTTGCCCGGCGCTGCCTTCCACTTTTCGTGAAACTGGTTTCCGTCTGTCATCCATCGCTCCCACGCCGCTCGCAGCCTTACTTTGAACGGCCGGTTCACACCGATGTCGAGCGGTGGAAGTTCCTTTGTCAGACCTCCCGGGATAACGGCGAGCACAGCGTTTATTTGTTTCACCATGTTTTTGACATCGGCTGTGAGATGGGCACGCACGGAGTAACAGATTAACAACGATGGTGATGCGTGGAAAAAAACACCTGGTCTCCTCACATACACCTGCCTCAGCCATTCTTTCATCATCTCCTCATCCATCCAGCCCTTTTCATTTGCCTTAATATCATATGTCATTAGAGCGATGTGTCTGTCTCGCTGGCAGCTCCCAGATCAGCTTCTCTGATTGGTTGATGCGGCGCTTCCAGCAGCAAAACTTCAATTTTTCCATCTCGAGCAGCAGCAGCGCGTTGGCGGTGCGTCAGATGCTTAAACGCTCCCAACGCGCTGCGCCTGCTGCTCAAAACGCGCTGCTGGAGCTTTTGCTGCACCTATACGCGCGTCAACCATTGACTTTGCATGTAAACTCGCTGCACCTGCTGCGTCCGGTTCACACCCATGTCAAGCGGTTGATTAACAGCGAGCACAGCACTAATTTGTTTCACCATGTTTTTCTCATCAGCTGTGAGATGGGCACGCATGGAGTCACAGATTAACAGCGATGGTGATGAGTGGAAAAAAACCACCTGGTCTCCTTACATTCACCTCCCTCAGCCACTCTTTCATCATCTCCTCAATGAGGTGGTCTCAAAAGTCCGCAGTTACAACACACATAGGGCGCACCGCACATTTTAAGGGAAAAAAGACGTTTATGTGCGCCTTATAGTCGTGAAAATACGGTAGTTCAGTTCTTAATTTTTCCTTAAAAAGGCATGGGAGGGTTATGTAAGCGTAACGTGACAGTAGCCAGATTGATATGTGTAGAACTGAGTTGAATTCTACGATATCTGTCTGGGATGCTGCCGTTCAGTCTGTCCATGAAAAGGAGGGACGTTAAGTGAAAGACTTCGAGTCGATTGGGTGACATGCCAGCTAGTACCCGCCTTCCGTAACACACTTTCAGCCAGTCGTAGGTAGCAGCGAATCGTGATGTTTCAGATTTAATACAGGGTTCCCGCGGGTCCTTAAAAAGTCTTAAAAGGCATTGAAACTAAGGCCTTAAATGGTATTAATATGTCTTAAATCAGTCTTTCGTAGGTCTTAATATTTAAAACCTCATAAAAAGGATTATTTTTATTATGATTTATATTTGTAATATAAATAAAACATTAAAATTGACCTTTTTTTATTTAAAAAAAATAATGGCTCGCAATTATTGGTTCCGTCCCGATAGCGGAACCAATAAAAGCGTTGTTGCGGCCGGGACATTTTGGAGATGCGCCATTAACTTTTTGTCTGGAAAATATGAGCAAGTGTAAATGTAACGAAAATTGTCTATCTAGCCAAGAGTTTTCTCCATGGCTAAAACCAGGGAACATACATGAGGCCCAGTGTATTTTGTGCAAGAAGCGATTCAAGCTCAGATTGATGGGAATTAAGGCAGTGGAGTCAAATGCGAAGCACAAAACACAAAGCGTCAAAATCGAGTTAGCGAGAAACAGCCGGTATTTCTCAGTTTTGTTCCACCCTTGTCTCTGCAACGCCTCCACTTATCACCAAATAAACATACTAAGAAAACGATACAAAGAAAAATAACTGCAAAAAAGACTTAGCACTGGTTATGTTTTGGCTTTAAAACTGATTTGTTTTGTTCCCTGCTAAAACAAAGTTTGTGAATTCAGTTAAATAATTGTTAAAATATATCTGTCATTTGTGTGTTTTTAGCTTTCTTCCTGTACGGGAACCTTTTCAAAATTTGAAGCATTAGTGTTATAATAAACCTTTGGGTAAAGTTGTCGCAAGCAGGTTTTACTTGTGTTTCTTTTGAATTTTGGTCTTAAATTTTTATATTAAGTGGCATTAAAAAGTCTTGAATTTAACTTGCCTTATGCTGTAGGAACCCTGAACATAGATCCGATTTTTTCCATTCCGACCCAGGCCACTTGGTTATGTGGTCCTGAATCTGATACGAATCTGATCTTTTCAAATGCGACCTGTGTGGGAACGGCCAGGTCGCATTTATTCGACCTGAACGTCATTAATAACTGACAAAGGTCACTATTATGCGTCTTGCTACGCAGAAGCGGCAAGAAAAACAACAACCATGGTCGATTAAAGATCCAATCTAGTAATCCCATGTACAGCTTTGGAGGACAGTAAACAGATGGGTTTAGACACACAACCAGGATGGTAACAGATGGAAGAATATCCTTGGGTCTGATTAGTCTTTAGTTATGTAGAGCCACAATAAACTGCATTTATTGTGGCTATCACAGTTCTTGTAAAATTGGAAAGAGGAAAGCTTTAGTCTTCATCGTTTTTCTCTTATAGCTGTAATCTATTCATAAGAACACTGATAAACTTCTCATTATGGTTATTTTAAGATTTAAAACACTTGTAGCTGTTGGGAAGAAAATATAAAGGAGGTGTGTTGTAGAACTCTTATGTTGTTCTGTATACCTTTTATTAAGAGAATGTTTAGTGAGTGTTTTTAGCTATTTCAGAATAAATAAATGTCTTTGTTGTGAACCTATGTTTTAGGTTGAACCTCCCGGACGAGCCTCTGACAGAGAAGATTCAGAAAAGGTAATGCTGAATCATTCACAGGAAAGAAATAATTATTACTAGAAAAAAGTTACGATTCTGTAAAGTTACAGCATTATCCAAAAATCAGCTCAGAATGCCGATTCTAACGCTGGGTTCACACTGTAAGGAAACCGTGCTGATTTTTGTCCCGATCTTCCCAGATTATTGGGATGGATCCAAAGCTAATCTTAAGAGATAATCCTGCTGTGTTCGGTGCAATAAGAGGACGTATTTCAGCGCAGAAAATCAAGAAAAAGTCAAATATCTTTAATAAGAGAAAATATTGAGGATTAAACAAAAGGCCGATGTTTTGTTTTTCTTTTAAGACTCCAAAGAATTTCAGCATTATTGATGAAGACGGAGACGAGGCAGAACCATCGGATACTGATGAAGAAGATCCACTGGTATTGTTTTTATTCTGCTTTTAAATTTAGTTACAGATTCAATAAAATCATAGATTTTAGATCCTCATAAGACTTTTTCTCTTTGACCATTAGGCCAATTATCTTTTTGCAAGAGCCAAAGGTGGAACTGGAAAGTCTTCACACCATGAGAAGGTAAAGCCATGGGAAATGGAAATATCAGGTTCTACCTCAAGTCCACAAAAATCACAGTAGATTAATTATTAAAGGAGTGCTTCTGTCAACACACAGTCTTTGCACAGCTTCAAATTAAGTTTGAGGTGTGGACTTTGACTAGACCATTGCAACCTTGAGTCTTTTCTATTTTAAACATTTGTTTTATTTGTTCAAGATCATTGTTGAGATGGCCTCATATATGACTGTGGAGCTCATGTTCAAACTCAGACTTACAGGGTTCCCATACCCTGTAGCTGTAAAATACAGCCCAGATCATCAGCCCTCCAGCACCGTGCTGGGCAGTTGGTTTCACATGTTTCTGCTACTATGCTGATGTTGATTTTCTGCAGACATCATGCTCTACTACCATGTAAGGCTGATATCAAGCTCTCGGGATAACAGAATGAATTATTTGTGGTTTCTTTGGTGAAATCTCATTTTCTAAAAGTAAATTATAGAAGGATAGACCGAGCACTTTAGCTACAAAGATCATCAATGCAGGAGCCATTGGGGAGCTTAATGGAACAGAGCAGGTTGGGAGGATTACTTCTGCATAACAATTGGGATCTTGGATTTTAGGGAATGAAAAGCAACAATTTTGGGACAAAATCATAAATTAGGGCTCAGCTAGAACACATAACTCATGCAGAGAGTAAACATAAAACCCAACGAGATCCCTTCAGATCTAACAGATGCTGTTTTATGCATATGCTTTCTACTACTGCTAATTAGCAATAGCATCATTGTTTTTTTTTCTCTGTGTCTAAGTTAATTGAAGGGCAGAATGTTTGTTTGCGGTTTCTTTCAACCACCACAGATTTCTACATTTCTTACATTGCAGTTAAACCCTCCAGATGGCAGAATGGACTGATTATGTGCAGAAATGTGAGAGTTACAGAATCACGATGTGGTTCTCCGATCTAAAGTGTTTTGCTGGCTCAGCTGTTAGCAGAAACTGGATTGTTGCATGCAGCTGGAAACATAAAAGGAGAGGGGAGGTAATTGAGTGCCTTGTTATGAAAAGAGCTTGTTGGTATAACTGACTTCTTTACTGTTATTTTTAATTAACTTATTTATTTGATAGTAGAATAGTTTAGTTGGCAGATACTGTAGTTTGATGACTGGTTTATGTTGACTGTCCGACTCTATTCTGCACAGGCACTTTCAAAATAAAAGCATGCATTATATACAGACATTACCAGCTCTACATGAGGATGGAAAAAATACAGGCGTAAATAAATTGGCTAAGAGAAATCTGTTAAGTTGGTATTTAGGAAATAACAAATGAATCATAAAAAAATGGAAAATAATGTGAAAACTGTATATTTATCAGGAAAAGCATGTTTAAAAAATATTTGGATGGTTAAAAAATACTACTTACTGATCATTAAAAATGGAATGCATGATGCATTTAATGGCATACTAATTTAAATGTCAAGCTACTTATTTGGCCCAGGGATATCTTTATTTTATTTGTTTAGTGACTGAGTTTTTATTTAATTATTAATGTATTTCTTGTTATGCCAGGACAGTTTCTCCATTGACTTTGGGATACAAAATACATCATCAATCGTATGAAACTTTTTGCTGCTTTGTACCTGATTATTTACTTTTTTTTATTATTTATATAATATTTATTTGTTTATGTTTTGTTTGTTTGTTTTCTTTTTGGCCATTCACACTTTTTTTTATTCTTATATATCTCGATTTCAGACCTAGCAATAATTAAATCTACACCTCTGAATACAACTGAGGGAAAAAAGTTTCAATATAGTTTGGAGAGAATTTACAATAGAGTCCCTTTACATGATTTTTAAATGAATCAATGGACTTCTGATCGTTTATAAATAGTTATCTCTTCCCTAATTCATAGGCAGCGACCCGTTTGTTAGCCTCAGATGAGATTTAAAGGAATTTAAATCCTTTTACTGTTTTATTAGTTGGTTATTTAAGGTTTACTGTGTTTTCCTTATGCATTGATGAAAGTGTTGCCTGTTCATGCCTCCATTTCTTGTTTTTTACCGCAGAAAAGATCAACTTCCAGTGATGACGCCTCAGAAGAAGATCCAATGGTTTGTTCTTTTGTTCTTGTTGTCTTTTTGAGGGGGGTGGGGGGTCATTATGTTTAGCGTCTAATTTTTGTTCCCTAACATGTCATCCAGGAGCAGATATTTGACCCCAAGTTTGATGGAGAGAAGAAGATTTACTCTGGTTCCTCAGTCAGTGTGAGAGCTCTCCTCCTCCTCCTCTTGACTTTCGTCCTGAAGCACGACTTGTCAAAAGCAGCCACCAAAGACCTGCTGGCCCTCCTCAACCTCATGGTTCCTGGGTGCATTCCCAGCTCTCTGCGTTTTTTAAAGAAACATTTGACTGAAATTGACAAGAAGACCGAGCTCCACTTGTACTGCCCCAGGTGCGAAAACTACCTGGGTATTGAACCTGGTACTGAATGTGGAGTGTGTCAGCAACGCTTGAGCAAAAAAAGTCTGCTAGAGAAGGCAAACTACTTCCTGGTGATGCCGCTAGAAATCCAGCTGCGGAAAGTCCTCACTCGTATTCACTCAAAGTTGGGAAAGCATTTCACCAGACAAAACTTTGTCTCTGACATCAACACTGGAGGTGAATATAGGCATGATGAGCAGGAAGGCAGTATTACGCTAACCTTTACATGTGACGGTGCTCCTCTTCTCAACTCATCCAAGTTTTCCGTCTGGCCCATCCTGTGCACCATAAACCAACTTCCATATGTGGAGCGGTGTAAGAACGTTCTTCTGCACACTTTGTGGTTCGGCAAAGGAAAGCCTCTGCTGCAGTGTTTCTTCACGCCGTTCATCAACGAACTCCATAAACTTTCTCACGAGGGCTTCACTTGGGAAGATGAGAGCGGTTTAGAACTCAACACCAGAGTGACGGCCAAAATCTGCGTCTGTGATTCTTTGGCAAGGTCAGCGGTGCAGAACTTCCAGCCATTCAGTTCGGAGTTTGGCTGTGGGTTCTGCTACCACAAGGGGGAGCTGGTTCAGAAGGGCCGGGGTTACACCAGAGTCTATCCTGTACAAGCTGACGGCTGTGACCTGCGGCACATGGCTGAGACGGAGCAGCTGGCCTCCTTAGTGGTCCAGAATGAGTATCCACAGGGTCAAATGGGCGTCAAAGGTCACAGCCCGTTGCTTCTGTTGCCTTCGTTTGACGTCATCAAAGGGTTCATCCCTGATTACATGCACTGTGTTTGCCTTGGGGTTGTCCCAGAGTTTGTCAATCTCTGGTTGGACCCTCTTTATGCCAGGAAGCCCTTCCATCTTCCAGCTCAGAGTTTGAAGGACCTGGACGAAGCTTTGTGTGGAATCCAGCCTCCCGATGAGATCAGACCAAGACCTCGGGGCCTCAGTGACAGGATGCATTGGGAAGCATCTGAGTGGAGAGCCTTTGCTCTCCTCTACTCTCCTGTAGTACTTAGGAAAGTTTTAGCAAACGTGTACTATAAACACTGGATGCTTCTCATTTCATCTCTTCACATCCTCCTTTCTAAGTTTGCCTCTCAAGAGGAGATCAGCTTTGCAGAGGTGTGCCTCCTTCAATTCGTCACAGAGGTTCCTTCTCTGTACGGCCTCGAGCACTGCTCCTTTAACTGCCATTTGCTGGTGCATCTCCCTGACTGTGCCCGTAACTGGGGTCTGCTCTGGGCCAACTCGGCCTTCGTCTTTCATGACGTCCAAAGCAGACTCCTGCAGACGTACTCCAGGACTCAGTCTGCCTCTCCGCTCATCTTTAAGCAGTTTGTTTCCTTCAATGAGATCGTCAGAAAAGGAAAAGATGTGCTGAAAGATGCCGGTGCAGAAATCACAAGCCTCTTTTCTTCTATGACAAGCTGCGGTTCGCTTACCAAGTCCTCCAACTACATCGGAGAAGATGTTTTTACTTTGGGATGTGGCTCTCAGAGATCTCTAACTGCCAGAGAACTTGCTACATTGCAGAACAAAGATACATGGCCCACTACTGAATACTCCTGTTTCGTCTCCAGAGGTATGTTGGTCACTACTTTAGACCACAGCGTCTCATGCAAAAGGAACAACTCGGTCATAGAAACGACAAGCGGCTTTGGTCTGGTGGAGTCTGCGGTTGTCATAGAAAAGGATTGCAGCTGTGACAAATCCTCCAGCTGCTCCTGCAGAGAACTGGTTGTTTTTTGTAGAAAACTGCTCTCAGCGAACTCCCAGCCAACAATCCTGAACACGCAGATCAACAGAAACATCGTAGAGTTCCTGGTGAGAGTGAGGAGCTCAGATGAACTGTTTGTAGTGACGTGTCAGAGCATAATCTCCAAATGTTTTGTGATGCAACAAAAGGGTGGGCTATACCTAATGAGACTGCCGGCAATCAACACTCTATAAGGGTTCCATGCAGTGTTTCCATAATCTCGCAACAGTTTTATGTGATAAACCTTATTTTCCGTGTGGTGATTAGATATTTATGAAATTCAACCATCCTGCATTTTTGGCAGTGGTGGCTTGTTCATGTTGGGAGTTAAAGATGCTCTACTATAAAAGAGCATTATTCAGTACATGACTGGCCTGTCAACAAAGTATTCACTGAAGAAAAATCCTTGTATTTAGACTCTTCCCATTGAGCTAAAATAGATGAAGTATGACGAATTTTACATATAGAGGGTGGAGTCGTCTAGCCTTGTGAGACCATCCTGATCTCGCAAGCTTTCAAGGTTTCACTCGCTAATCAGTCTGGAGACTCTCCGTTAAAGAAAATTTGGAGCCGTTCACCAAACGAACGTCCAATCAGCGTTGGCTTTGAGGCGGGTTGAGGTGTGACGCATCGAGAAGCGCGACCATTCAGTCTAAAGAACATGGCGGCTTCAGCTGATAAAACTAGCGTTAGCGTGGCTATCAAGCAAGTTTTATCGGAATTACAGAGTATTTCTTCACTGAAAAAAGAGATAAACACTGCTCTGGAGGCTTTTCTCAGAGGAAAAGATGTTTTTGCTCTTCTCCCGACTGGTTTCGGCAAGAGTTTGATCTATCAATTGGCTCCTTTTCGTCGTCGCTCTGTTAGTACGTCATATGCTTCGTTGATCTGATTGGTTCATTTGGCCCGTCTATCACCAACATAGGCCAATCAGCTAATCAGTATTTTCGCCCCTTCCCAAAATTACTTCAACGGAAGGTTTCCAGATGGATATGCGGAGCAAATCCATCTGGCGGAGTCAGGTTAGGAGTCTTCACCTGTGCCTTCAACATACTTATAGCACAGATTTAATGCACTTAGGTACATCACTGGGAGATTTTTCCCTTCAGTCTTTTTAGTTTTAAAGACAATTAGACACCCAAGCAATCAGGAGCAAAGACCAAATTTGAACATTAAAGTATTTTCAATTGAAGGCATCATGTATGGTTAAAGTTTCCTGCAGGGATATCTGATAAAAACCTGGTTAATAGGGTGAGCACCTCTCACTATTAGAGGTGATTCACCTAAATGCTCCACCTGTCTATAAAGGTCAAGGAACACAAGTAATTTTCTCCTGGAAGCATTCAGTGTCTGATCCTAGGAATGTTGGTGATCTTCAATTGACTACAACTCATTGTGTGCTCCCATCAACTCTGAAGGGTTTATATCCTTTGAGGATGTGTCAATAGCTGTTACTAGCTGCTAAGGGTTGATCTAGCGAGCTGTTTCATGGGACTTTTGATTGAGGAAGTTGACTTTTAGCTATTAGACGTAATGAGACTGTTGTGATCTTCTTTATGTGGAGCAATATTGGCAGCCACTCTAAAGTTGAAGAGTTTGAACCTTAGCATACATTGGGACAGTTTGCAGCCCAGTTTGAAGCAGATCAAACCCCCAATTTACACTACGTCTGTCTCTATTCCACTACAAACTCCAATCTAGAAAAACATTATCTGCCATGAGACAATTTAATCTGCCTCGGCAGGACGGCCGTGTTCGCACAGCCTTCCATCACAATTTCACCTGAATCAAAATCACTAGCAGGAAACCGCAATGTTTAAGTAAACCAGTGGTGGGACGTGATAGCACTTCTACTCATGGTTAAAACGCGATCTGTAATTACAATCGCCACTTTATCATTAAGCATATATCAACAATTTAAACCACCCTTCTTTGCTCCTAAGTTATGAACTTATGAGCACAGCAAAACAAATATTTATATATTTTATCAACTATTTACATAATTGGGCTGCTCAGTGATGCAGTGGGTAGCACTGCTGCCTTGCAGCAAGAAGGTTCCAGGTTCAGTTCCTTGCCCTGGGTCTTTCTGCATGGAGTTTGCATGTTCTCCCTGAGCATGCGTGGGTTCTCTCCGGGTACTCCGGCCTCCTCCCACAGTCCAAAAACATGACTGTTAGGTTAATTGGCTTCTCTAAATTCTCCTTAGGTGTGAGTGTGTGCGGGAATGGTTTTTTGTCTCTGTGTTGCCCTGCGATGAACTGGCGACCTGTCCAGGGTGTACCCCGCCTCCCGCCCTCAGACAGCTGGAGATAATCACCAGCACCCCTCACGACCCCACTTGGGATTAAGCGTGTCAGAAAATGGATGGATATTTACATAATCCAAACATCTCATAAGTTGAAAGATTTAATTATTTCTGTTTTTAAAACCCGTAATAATTTATACATCCTCTCTCTAAAAAAAAAATCCTGCTTTAGAAGTGTGAACACTACATGAACATTAATAAAACACAATTCCTCCCACTAAATATAATAAAAGTGTATGCAAACAGGGCTTAAAATACATTCGTTAAGAGTTTAGCATTTGCTGTAAAAAAGTTAAAGCTCCATTTCTAATTATGAAAACAAGTACAACAGTAGAGCTGTTTATAAATATGACCTTACAGAGCTCAACATGCAAATTTTAGAGCGTCTAAATATATCAACCATGTAGGCTATATTTTCTCCTTAATTGACTTACGAAGACAAAGAATCCATGTTTCAATGCACTTTACCAGGTAGAGAGTCGTTATGTTTTTCAGACGTGGTCTTTCTTGGCTATGAAGCTCGTCATCTGGTTCAATGTGAAGAATTTGTGACGCAGCTGTGGATGCTAACGTTGAAACGTCAACGTCGTCTATGCTGCCTCAACATGAAATGCACTGAGATGGTTTTTAAGCTTGAATAACCCAATTGGACCAATGCTTATGTTGCTGCTTGTGCGTCAGATTTAATGATGTACAAGAAACAAAAGAATACAAAGGTTCCCATTTGGCATATTAGCATGTATTTTTAAAAAAACGAAACGTTTTACTTAAAATTAGATTGTTATAGTGCTAGCCTTAGAATAAACTGATTCAATTTTAAAGGCATTCCCGAAAACCCCACTATATTAACAAAGATACATCTGTGTTCATTAATATAAGGTATCCAAGTTAAAAGTTTAAGGTTTTGCATAAGAAACACATTAGATAAGAAAAAAGATGCAGCTTCTCTGTACTCTGTGTATTCACCCATTGTAGAACAAAACGCAAACTTTTATGTCCCACTTCCGATACCTTTGCGTCAACTTTCCCTTTAATCGATATCTTTAATTACCAAAAAGACACATGCCTCTCAGAGCACCTGCAACACCTGCTTTGTTGCAGAGTGTAGTGGATCAGAGCGCTTCTAATGTAAACCAGGACTGGAGCAGAGACGCAGTCGCTGTAAATCTGCTGTTAGTCTGAGGCCATTACGCTCATTTGGAAGAAGGAAAGCCCCCTCCAGTCTCTGCCTCAGGTAGAGATGTTTGTGAATGTTGACGTCTTGTTGACACGTGATGACAGGATAGAGCAAGAAATGGACAGACGGACAGTAGCTCTGTAGGTATAGATCATGACTGAAAGAACAAGATCCTGGATACCAGTGGTTGAAAAGATTTCTCCGTAGAGTGGCCGACTCTACGGAGTGGCGTAGAGTGTTCCTGTTGGTAGAGGTTTGATTTGGACTCATTTGAAGGTTCTCCAGACATTTCCTACTGGGAGGGGGAGACTGCAAAGCAGAGCTGGACTCATTAGAGGCTCTTTATTATGGGATCCAAAGGACTAATTTTCTTTTATGACTGAATACCCAATGATGACGGGAGAAGTATCTTTCCTACAACGAAGTGATGAGAGAAGAGCATTTTCAATAGGTGATTTTAACGTACTGCTTGGCACAGCCACTAATTCATTATGTTACTTTAGAACTGACCGGTTTTTGGGATTCTTTTTATTTTATTTTATTATTCTGGTTTTTTTTTTTTTTTACTGAGCTGTAAGAGCTCAAACACAGTATGAGAACTAAGATGACATGCATCGACAGCCGGACCGTAAGAAGAGCATCTAGGTTTGTGAGGATGATACCTACCAGTTTTCTCCAGTGTTCTCATAAAACCCTGCCTGTCACCTGTGTGCTGTACTGGCTGCTACAGCAGGATAGTTCTCTACAGTCTGAAGTTGTTAAGGTTAGACTAAAATATTGTTTGGTTCTTTTTTTATCTCCATAATGCAAGTATAAAATAAAGGCATGGAGTAATGCTTTCTTGGTTGGATGTATCCTAAGGTTCTCTATATAACCTGAAGACCAAAGTGGGGATTAGATTAGGAGAAAGGAAACAGGCTTTACAAACAGATCTCACAGTTTCTCCTCCTGCTGTGATCAAACCAGTCCTTTTGGACCAGAAACATTCAGAACATGAATCTAAACATAAGTGCCTCATTTTGGCTTTAAATCCGATTCTAAAGAGAAACGAGCTCCAGACTTTTTTTTTTTAGGTATTTAACTTCCTCATTAACTCCCATGACTGCAGTGGATGTTTCTTTACAGTAAAGATGATCCCTTGATATCCAGTGGGTCTGATTGTGCTTTCGTCCTTTAGTAACATCTCTGACTTTAACCAGACAGTTATTGATCACCTTGCTGCTTTGAAAGAGAGCAGGCACATGTTGCTCGCTCTCACGTGTTAATCTATTACTGTATCATAACTTTGTATCTATGTAAGTATATCAGTGGCGCATGTTTCCGTTTTCCTCTTCCTTAAGAACTTGTAAAAAGATTGTAAAATGTTATGACACCATGTTTTTTTTTTTTTTTTTACATTTTATTGATCTTTGTTTTTTTATTGAATGCTTTAAATCAGATGCTGTTAAAAGGCTGTATTTGTACATTTCCGATATTTTCTTATTTGCACAAGTATTGGCTTACTTTCCTTTTTTATACCTTAAGCTCACACTGTAAGCCTTTAAAATTCAACGTGTCAATTTGTTTGTTTTCCTACATTTCAATTTTTTTTTTTTACCTAAAATCATCAAGTCTTTCTGTTTGTTGTTTTATGCCTAAAAGAAAAAAAATCACTGACAGTATTAAAGTGAGAATCCAATGGTTTGATAGTCCCAGTAAAAAGCCAGATGGTTGTATGTTAATTATCAAACTGTATGGTTGTTCATGTCACCTTTTTTTTGTTTGTTGTTGCATATATGTTGCATTTTTGGTCTATTGTGAAATATATGCGTACTTTAATATCAATTTGAATTTAAGGATGTTTACAATGAACAACTGTAAATATATTCTTGTGTTTTAAACAAGTTTCTGC